CCAAGATAAATACTCATTATATAATACATATACCTGCAGCCTCCCTGACCTTCCTTTTTAGAGGTCGCTTTCAAAAGTCGGTCTTGGAACCGAAATCCTTCCTTTTGAACAAAGGAGCGTGTTTTGCGAAAGGGTTGCGTTTTGGGACCCAGGCCCAGGACATCCCAGGACAAGTGACCAGATGCACACCCTCAAGTGCTATTTGGTGATGTTCATCTAAAGATTGGATGAACTCTTTGGCCACCCTCCACTTCAAATACACTGCTTCTCATTAGATTATTGATGATCATTGGGCCAAGAAGATCATAGAAGGTTTTCTGGTGTGCATCTTTGGACTGGTATCCAATCACAGCCCCGGTTTCCCCACCGGCCACTCACATCCACGTTCGTCGCAGCGAACATTTTCCCGGTGTAGCCACCGGCCGCTGGTCATCGAGCTGGTCATTTTGACCTGTTGGGGGCCTCAGCCAACCGGGATGCTGGTCACAACTCGAAAGAATGGGCATTTGTGGACAAACTTGTCCTTGAAGTATAACCAAGTCTGAAAGGACCATGATCCCCCAACGTGTTTGTTGCTACCATAGCAAAATAGTTCATAGGTTAAACAAATCCATTATGATACACTGCATCCCGTTGTGTCAGCTTCACTGGACCTGGCGCACTGTTTGGACAAATCATGCCTTTTGTTTCCTCAGCCAAATTTTTGATTCAAGTTTTTGTGCTGTTTCTGGTACTCTTCCTTGGGCATGGCATCCCTTGCTGGTGTGGTGGATGAGTGGGACTCTTCTGCTGATTTACGTGAGAGGATGCGGGAGAAACGTCGTCTGTTCTTGCCTGAAGAGGGGAAGGAAACCCTATCGGCCACTGTTGCTTGCTGCAGCATGAACTTTGAAGTGCTGAAGCCCCTAGCTCAACGTTTGCAGAATCCACCTGGGACGGTTGGGATGTTCACGGTGCCTGACCTTTTGAAAGAGAATCTCACCTGCAACAAGTCTGATTTTTTTTGTGTTCCACCATCAACCTACCATCATTGGGGCATTGGGCCAAAAGATCAATAAAAGACTTGATGTCGTAGGTACTCTTCTTGGCTGTCTGTTGCGCTCCTAGGATCAAATCCCTCTACGGCAGGTTCAAAATCCCATTGCCATCCAAGAAGGATCTCAAGAATGAGGCAAAGTTAGCCAAGGGAAGCATGGTGCTTCTGAAACGAAAGCTTCAGCGCGAGCAAGTTTGCCGGGACCCCTTGTTCCAGAGTTTGATGGTCATGGTTTTTGGCGACCGTGATGATGAAGAAAAGTTGACTTTCCAGGAGCTTTGTTTCTCTGTCATTGCCTATTTTAAGGAAACAACTTGTATCATATCATAAGTTGAAACATTGAAAGCTTGTGGGTTTGGTGTCTTTTGATCCTGGTTCATCATGCATGTGGCTGATTTTGTATTTTTCCACCAAACCATTCTGACTTCCAGGACCCTGAGGGGGAACCAGAGCAAGATGTGGACGAAGTGGAGATTGCAGGTGTGGAGTCGGATGGAGAGCTGGATGATGAGGATGCCATTCCTCTTCAAGAAGAAGCTCAGGGTAGCGCCTTCATGGAGGATTCCATTCCTCTTCAACAAGAAGCTGAGGGGGGGGTTTTGATGGAGGATTCCATTCCTCTTCAAGAAGAAGCTGAGGGTAGAGAAGCGGCGGAGGGTAGCGCCTTCATGGAGGATAGCCAGGATCCTGAAATGCAAGTTGATCCTGCACCGCTTGCGGCCCCTGCTTCTTCTGATGCTGCTCCCACCGAGGTTCCAGTCTATCTTATTGGAGACAGCCCAGAGAAAACGGATATGGTGGAGGAAGACAAAAGCTGGGAACAGTGCGCTAAGAACTTGATCGACAGCAGGCAGTCGATAGAAGATCAAATCAGTGAGCTAACTGCCAAGTTGTCGGTTGCCAAAAAGCAACGAGCTTCCCAGACATTTGGTCATTTACTCGGACACATTTTGTGTGGAAATAAAGATGGGTGATATTGGAGGACTGGATATGGGGTCCGTATAGTTTTTTACTTTACAAGCAAATCAGTGACCATTGTCTTCGAACCGGCTTTGCTGAGGATGGCCAGCCAAGCCTTGCAACGTGGAAAGTCGACTCCGCACTTGGTCTTGGAGAGCTTGCCTGAGGTGGGAGAGGATGGGGAAACCCAACTGCTGCACTCTATGGAAATGGAGCATTTGGCCAAAATGTTCTCGGAGACTCGAGAAGTTGAGGTCCCTAAATGTCCCACTGTAGCCTGTTTGATTATACTTATATGGTCTTTTTGTCGTTGGGCTTACTTTACCTTAGTCATGAGTCACACGCCTTTTCAAGAAAATCTGTTGTTCTTTATGTGGAATCTTTGGCTCCCTCCTGCATTAATTCTCTTCCTCATGTTGTTTGCCTCATCTTCAGGTATTGCGTCGGGATCAGCTAAAATTGAAGTGTGAGGAAGGCAATGAGAATGAGAAGGAGAAGAAAAAGAAGACTCCAGGACGTCCGAAGGGAAAGGCAAAAGGTAAGGCAGCTGCCAAGGCGAAGGCAAATGCCTCAAAGGCCAAGGCTAAGGCCAAGGCTAAGGCCAAGAGCAAAGCAAAGAAGACTTCCCCGGCCCGGGAATTTAAAGAAGCACCAGAAGAAGAGGTGCAGGAGGAAGAGGAGAATGAAGATGAGGAGGTGGCTTCTGATGGTGCTGAACATGAAGAAGGTGAGGTAGCACCAGGGCCTACCAAGCGGGTGAGGAAGGCTTCCGCAATCACGCAAAAGAGTGGTACCAGCAAGCCTGAGGCGAAGAAGAGGGCCAAAAAGGACAAAACCCAGGAAACTGAGAGGAGCGGGCTGAAGGAAGAACCAGTTGAAAATGATGGTTTGAAAGGCGAGAAGAAAGAATGCAAGGAAGCCAACCGCAAACCTACGAAGAGAAAGGTCGGCGGGGCGCCTTCTACCTTTGCGAGGAGGGCGGAGCCAACGTCAGAGTTTGGTCGGCTGAAGTGGAATGCTTTGAGAGGGGCCTTCAACGAAGTGATCAAACCGCACCTCACTCACTACTCGGCTGCTGAGGCCCCACAAGGGTGAAGAGTGGGTGTGTGTGTGTGTTTATAAGTTTTGGGTGCAAGCAAATGGCTCAATCTTAGTAGGTCAAACTTTTGGAAATCGATGCCCATTCGAATCCTGGGTGCCCAAATCTTGTTGGTCTTCTGAACCTTGAGCTGGAACCCATTTGTATTACGTCGTATCCCAAATTGCGATGAAGTCGGAGTTGTCATTGCTCTGGTCACTGTTGGTCGAGCCAGTGCTTGTGCAATTGGCAAGGGTATCATTTTGAAGTTTAGAGCATTCGGGTGTGCCAGCGAAACTTTCACTAAGTATTTGCATGTTTCCCCCCCAGCTTGCAAAATTATTTCCAAACAGTGCGCATACCTTTCCCAAACTGGTCTTACTTTGATAAGGGTCGGTTAGAGGCATGGAGCTGAGACCTAGGACATCCTCAGACTGCTCCAGGAGTCAATCCTTTTAAAACCACCATATACCACCCTCACATGCAATCTCACAGTCAACCTCGCTTGAGGACAAGTTTTGGAAGCACGCTACGGAAAAGTGGCAATCCATGGAGGTGAACGAAGGCAACATCCATACCCTGGCAGAGTCTACTGCCTCTGAGTTCCTGGCGGAGCAGCGCGCATAGTTGTGTTGCTGCGTTGAAGCCTGGGCGCTCCGTACAACTGCTTTAGACTTGAATCAAACTATGAAGATTGACGTCATCAATGGTTGGAATTTATGAAACTAGTATCTTTTCGATATATCACCCAGTGCTTCAGCCAGAAATTGAAAGCAGCCAGCCGTGCTGCGTCCATTGGCGAAGGCCAATCATGGCAAATTCGAGACTTAGAGTTGGGTGAGCAATATCACAACGATATGGCATTGAACAGCCTAAGTCAGCTTAGGTGGCGGTCAGTTGACACATGTACTCAGCCAGGGTCTAGTATAGATCATGTTGCACATATTTATTTTTGATGCTTTTGGTAGGAATGGGCACTGTTCTTGCAAACCCATGTTCATTCAAAGCTTGACGACCGCTATTGCTGACAGGTGGTACTATGGGCCCACCCTATAGAGTGCCATCGTTGTTGCTGCTTCTTTGGGGAAAACATGTTCAAAAATGGCCACCACCGCAACAAACCACAAACACTAAGGCCCAGCTTTGTGCTCCTCTTGCCCATGTTGCTCTGGGAAGCTTTGGAATTGATTTCTAAAAAAGGTAACCTCACAGGGGCCTCTCTTTCAACCTACCACCTGCCTCCCTGTCTGGCACTTCATCCTGGTCCTGCCAATTCTTCTGAGGCCAAGACCAGCCATGGAGGTTGACTTTCACAACAATGACCTCAGGAGTGACTTTCACGTGAATGACCTCCGCAGCCCTGGCATGATTTGCTATGTGCAGGTTGAAGTCAGGAGGTCTGAGATGGGACATGGATTTCAGAGTAAACTGACCTCACAAAATGTGTCAAGTGCCTTTTGAATCCAAACACAAAACGATTTGTTTGGCAAGTATCGGAGAATATCAGAGAACTGAATTGAATACGCAATATATACAAAGGATGATTTTCTCCTGTGCACAGCAAATGTTTTTTTGGTGTCATCAGCGACGCAACTGCAGTGCAAGCACAATCGCAAGTCCCCTGAGATCATTTTGGTTTGGGGCTGAGGGTTACAAAGATCCCGGCCATTTAGGACACTTGCTGTCAGCCATGGCTTTGGAGACCATGGATGGGGTGAAGCAGAGAAAGCTCAACATAGTGCTGCAGAGATTGTATTCGATTGGGGCACCAAAAGACACTGGGCCCAATGGTTTGATCAAATCAGAGTTTCCATGGACTGAGTGACAAAACTGAACTCTGCAACCATATCTTGTGACGCTGGTTGGTTTAAGAGGATTTGGTCGCGTACGCATCAAACCTGTGTCTCCCAGCCTCCCGAGGCCTTGATGGCCTGCATTTTGCTTCTGGCCTTGAACAAGGACTTTGATGTTTTCAATGAGGCAGTTGGAACCATGGTTGACTGCTGGGTTTTGAGGGAGAGTACAGTATACCGTATACCACAAAACGCCACAAAAAGATTGTCAGCAAACAGCCACAAAAAACAATACGCCACAGACTATTTGCATGCAGTGCCCGGGCCAGGCATACAGCTTTCTGGAGCTCTTCTCAGGCAAGGGATGGGTGACTAAACTGATGAAAGTGAATGGTATCGCATCCGCAAGCTTTGACATATCGTATGGAGAACCAGTGCCCGGAAAGCAAGATGCAATGGACTTATTGTCAGATGCTGGATTCGCGCTTTTTGATTGCAAAAGTGATAGACCATGATGACCACCATTGCTTGTAAATCCAAGCCCACCCTGAAAACACATTGTGGACCTTTGCTTATCCAAATCAGTTTCTAAGGTTAGTGCTCCTGTCCATTCTCAATTGCAAATTCGAGAACTTTCTCGTGGTCATCGGCTTGGTATGCAGCAGCTGGGTCACCGTGTCGCAAGGGACACACAATCGGGCACCATGGTTTCCTATGGGTCGTGATGAATTTGGATTTGTGAATATGGGAAACCAATTGACTTCAAGGAGCCTTCACCAGCTTGCAAGTTGCAACTGTGGGTCGTGAATTATCATGCAGCTAAGGGATTTAAAGGGTGCAACACATTACCCCACCAAAGGAAATTGTTCAAGGGTGGAACTGTGGAAGCTGTTCTCAAAAGGATGGACATCGATGCTGTTTTTCAAAAAACTCACAAGCTATCAAAGGCGAAACTAAACATGAGCAATCCTCATCAAACCCCTCCCACACACTCCGAACTTGGTGCTGATCGCGCTGCCTTCTCGTCGCTCCAGGACAGCTCTCCTCATCCTGGCCATCACGGCCATGGGAGGGACGTGGATATTGGAACAGCCCCGAAGCAGCCTTGTGATATGGCATCCTAGGATTAGACTGCTTTGGAGGCTACTTCCAAAGGCCACAGTGACCAAACCCACAAACAAAATCCAGTTGCATGTCAGTGGACATGTGGATGTGTTGTGAGTGCTTTTCTTTGTGGTAGAGATCTTTTTCAACTAATCGTGCATGCAGGTGTATGAAGCTCGGTGGTGGGCCTGCATGTATGGCTCTGCCACGGCAAAAAGGCATATAGCCTGGTCAAATTCCCCGACAGTGCAGCTTCTGGATTTGGGTCAGATGGTGAGGGCGCACTACAAACTACAGGGTGCGAAGTCCACCAAGAAGTACAGAAACAAACGTGGCAAGGTGGCCTTTTGCGGCTCATCTTTCCTCAAACAAACACAGTGCCTGTACATTGATATTGCTTTTTTTCTAAACTAGACCAATCAACATCGCCCAATATAAAGCTTCCACACCCAAACTCATGGTGTCGTGTACTGTACTATTGGTCAAGAAGCATTATGAACGGAACCTTTCTGAAACCAAAAAGTTTTTGACAGATGGTCCAATCATTGACCCCAAGAAAACATGTTGCACCACTTGGTCTGTTGTCCCGTGTCACAGTTGTTGCCCAGGACGTATCCACCTGGCTTCGCGAAGAAGATCACCAAGCTTCACTCCAGGTTCTGTGCGAAGCGGACTTTGGAGTTTGGTGCCGGCATTGAGGGAGAACATCTCAACTTAGGAGTTTACCTTTTTGAAGGTCTTTCCTGGGACACTGATTGGTGGCTTGATGCTGGAATGGACAGCACATTCTGCTACCTTCGTGGAGCCAAGGGATTGTGTTTGGGATCCTTGAGGCATCTTTTCCCAACGCACATTTAATCAAGTGGTTGCAAATTCCAACACCTTCTCTCAAAGAAGCAACTGCACTTCCCTCAAGCACTTTGGTTGGGTTGGGTCAAGGAGAGAGAAGGAGTTTGTGCAACTCTAGCCTAGAGCTTATATAGCACCTTATAGCTCAGAATCTTTGCACGCATGAATGCATGCGTGCTAATTAGCCTGTGACACTCCAGGTGCAAGCTGTTCGAACACATGCTCCTGCGTATCGTTCTGGACATGTTTCTTCATTGCCCAACTTCAGCTGTTTCATCTGTTTTTGATGTGGTTGCAACAGTTTTTAGGAGCAATATGTTAAATTTTAAAGGATATTTGGAAAAACTGCAAAATACGTACTTAGTATGGATTTAGTACGTATGGAACCCGTACCGAGATTCGTACCCGTACTAGGGGCGTAGAAATGCGTACAAAGGTCGTAGAAATGCGTACTAGAATACGTACTATTTCCGTACTATCACTGTTTGTCAACAATCGGGTTTTTGATGGTTTTAGAGTCATTTGGCCAAGAATTCCATCCAATCCTGAGCATTCACCCATGTGCTTCCATTCCTGATCCCCTCAGTTGAGCCTCCACAAGGATTTGGCTCGTCGTTCAGCCATAACCTGACAGGTTGTGGGTAGGGATGGCGGATGGGAAGCTTTCCAAACGGAAAACCGTTCCTTCAAAAACTTGGAGTTGTGGAGAGTTGAAAGATGGTCATGAAAAGCTCATGGCAGTGAAGACCGAAACACCTGGCAAAGCACAAGTTGATCTGGAGATTGAGGAGACACAAACCAAACGCAACACTTTTGTGTTTTATGATGTCGCCCCAAAGCCAAAAAAGATCACCCTCATGCGACCTCAGGAATATGAGCGCAAGCTTCAAATGCTGAGGGATGCCAAGGCTGCCAAAGATGCCAGTGTTTCTCAATTGCATATGGGACATTGACAGTGCTACCCAAACATTTTGACACCACATGAACCCTGCAAGCAATGGTTTGGCCCCAGGAAGCTGATACCGTACCAGAATCTTGGCAAGTTTGTTCATGTTGGAATACCATACCTGTTGTGAGCTCATGTTGGTTCCCACAGTGTACTGTATCCAAGGGAAGCCCTGCAAAGATCAGGCCAGCTGCGAAGGCAGCTGGGAAACCAGCGTCTGCCAAGAGCAAGGCGAAGGCAAAAGCACAACCAAAGGCATCGTCAGAGAAACACCCTCGCAGCCCTGCCAAGCCACACCAGACATCACCGAATACCAAGCCCCCCAAAGCGAATGAAGGGGAAACAACCAGAAGAGGACCCGCACAAGTTGATTGAAGAGCTCCGCAAGGCCTCATGATTTGGGATTGTACTTTTTTAGACTGCACATACGCAGAGTATGTTCATATTGTAGCATATTGTAGCCTTTCTCCACGCTTGGTTCTCCCTGAAAGGCCAACCAAAGAATGCAGCTAGAGATGGAAGAAATGAAGAAGGGTCAGAATGCATCCAGTTCCAAGAGTGCTTATACCACACCTCCCCCCCAAGATTTCAGCCCCATCGCCTGCCAAGCCCAAGATCACACCGCCGGCAGAGCTGAAACCTCCACTGACTGAAGGTGCAAGGCTCAACCGGCTGCGACGCATGTGTGAGATGAAACCGTCAGGCAAGTGTAATGTACCAGAACACATTCACCAGAGATGGAAGAAAAGCACTAAAGAAGAAAAGGAAGCAATGTGTGATGAACTTGATTCGTTGGGATGGTCGAAGGACAGTTTTTGGTCAAACAATTTCAGGTAGTGCGCTTTTGGCATGGCTCATTTCATGGGGGTTTTACCGTGGAGTTGCTTACTATCTTTGCCCTTGATCTCCCCCAGGATATGTTCGTCACCAAACTCACCAAGACCTTGTCCAAAACCAACAAGCTCAGCAAGCGTAAGAAGAGAGGTTGGTTTACAAAAGAGGCTATGGCTCGAGTTTTGAACTGGTCTGCGCCCCTTGTCTTATGAGATTGACAACAAAACACCTGTTGATCTGTGGGTGACTTCCCTATAGGCTTGATCGCGACTGGCAAACTCCTGCAGAAAATCCCAGGTCTTACATCAAGAGCGTGGTGGAGTATTGCGAGCGACCTGGAAACATCGACCGGCTGACCAAGAAACTTTCTTGCATGAAAGGGACTGTGTTTGCCATGCAGCTGAAATCAATGCACAGCAGACTCAGCACATCAATGTTCTTGTGATATTGCCACTAACCCATGGGGTCATGACCAGAGCTTGGACGTGAGGAAAGATCGCTACAATAAGAAGCTCAAGAAATACTATGTTGTGTATGAGGAGGGTGACGAAGAGTTGTCAGAAGATGAAGAGCGCCAAGAGAAGGTTGACCAAGATGCTCCCTCCCCAAATTTTAAAAAAATAAGGCTCCAGGCCATAGGATGTTCTCAATGAGCATATGTTCACGAAATCCTGGGCCCCAAGCTCTCCAACCTCAGGTTGCAGATGATGAAATCGAATTCCAGCGGCTGGGCCATGTGAGAGATGACCCTGATTCTGATGACAACAAGTCGGAGAAGGAGGCTGGTGCGAAGGAGGCCAACAGCGCCAAGCAGGAACCTTGTAGGAACTGTTTCTCTTGGGTGTTCATCGCAAGGTATTGCAAGGTAAAACATGCGCATGTCAACTTGCAAACAAACAACAACATTGAACACTTGCAGGAATATACAAAGATGGTATCGTTCAGCAACAGTCTTCTTGCCCGATCTTCCAAGCTTACGGAGTTGTGCCAGCTTTTAGAGACTGCCCTTGAAGAAGCTGGAAAGAAACCTGACAGTACTGAAGGAAAACGTGTGACCAAGTCTTCTGCTGAGACTTCACTACACTTTCATGAAACAAGTTGGACCAAGAACTGCTGTACCCGTGTCCTTTGCCATCCTCTGCTGGCCCCACCAGCTCAGGTCAGTGCAAGGTCTAGAGTCGGCATGCGAGACCCTGGAGCGAGAGTATGAAGGTTGTGAGCAAGTGAGATTGGATGTTTCCGGTCTTGAAAGTGAGAAGAACCTGGCTGATTCTGTGGCCAAAGAGCTCCTTGCCCATAAGATCCATTTCAATACACACACACACCACTTGGTATTGCAGCATTTTGGAATGTTCAGCTGGTATCTTCTCAGGCACCTGAAGAAGATCGATGCCCAGATCCGCAAAACCACCGGGGCGCGCCTTGTCCATGTACTTCTAAAAGCGCTCCTGCCATGCAGGGGGCACCGGGGCTGAGGTGCAGCAAAGTGAATGCTGTGGAGGTTGCAGCCAGGTACTTTGGCTCAACCTATGACTCATTTTGGGAAGCCTTGGACTACACTCATGCATGGAAGTTTCCCACCTGTTTGTGCCCCTATCCTCCAGGAACCTTCTTAAGATTCTTCGGAAATCTGCTCAACCTACTTCTTCTTCCGGCTGAACCGGGCGGGGGTGGGCGGTCCATGATGGACCATAAGGTTCACTTGACCAGGGCCCAGATTTTGTTGGGCGCCGTGACTCGCAAACATGTGTTGGAATGGTTAACACGTGAAGAGTCAGAAACGGCATGACTTTGAGAGCGATGGCATTTGCCCGAGAAAAGGCACACGCATGCTGCTTTGATCCTTTCATGGGCGAGCACAATGCAAGCTAGCCAGCCAACACTCTCCATGCACACGCACACACACACACACATGCACCCAACTCAATGGCTTTGTTCAGTCCCTCGTGCGTGCACTTTTGCACGCACATCTATTTCACCTATTGCCTTGTGTTCCAGCCAGGTGGACGTGACCAAGATGAAGTTGTTCGGAATTGTTCCCGCCTCATTGCCAACGGCGTCGGGCTCCTCAGTCAGCCTGGAGGCATATGGAGGGAAGAGTGGGTGGGATTTTATGTCACTGTGCATCCTTGAACCTTCTTTCCAAATGTGGCCACAGTGCTCTTTATCATATTATGGCATTGCCCATGTATCGTGTGTTGCTTTGCATGTTCAGTCCTTAAGATATACATGTGCATGCAGGCATGGATACATGTAACAACTACTGCCGGTGACATCTTGTGGTCTGAACTCATCATAGTTTCATGCGTGTGAGATTTGCCGTTCATGGCCAATGATGACGATGATTTGCTGCTGGAACTGCTCACCTACACTTGCCCTGTTACTGGGAGTATGAGAACTGCAGGTCGACCTGCTGCACCCTCTGCGTGACTTGGGGTGATTTGAGACAGTCCAATGGTTGTGACAATGCCCAGCCTCTCCCAACAATAGCTCATGGTTTTGGAACTAAGGCCAATCAAAACACCAAGACTTCCAGATGATTGCAACCCCACTTCGTCCAATTCTGAACAAGACATTGATTTGTACATGGACTACTTCCAGCGAGAGCCTTTGCATCCTGATCCTCCAAAGTCACTGCCTGTAGCTGCACCAAAGCGGAAGATCGCCATGAATGATGCACCTCAGCGGAAACACTTGGATAGTATAGTCAAGGGTTGAGGTCGAGGGCTGCTCATGGTGATTGAGTGTTCTAAGTTGTAACTCTGACCCTCCTGGTCGTAGTCTTGCCTTCTCAGGAAAATTCGAGCAAGCTTCTCAAGAAGGACGTGGTGCTTTGTGGCAACCCGGGCTTGGTGGACCATCTCATGCCCATCGCCAAGTCCAGACCAACATGTGGCAAACTGTTGGAGCATTGTATAGAAAAGGTCACTAGCTTCAGAGAAAAGCTAGGTATCAAATTGACTGTGTTCAAAGTCGGGGTCACAGCGGACCCATCCGTGAGATTTAGCTTTTACATGCAGCAGAAAAATTTCACGAGTATGTGGCTCATAGCCAAATCTACCAGCATTGATTTAGTTCACATGTTGGAAGCTGCCTTGGTGTTCGAGTTCCACAAGCATGTGGGATGCAGAAACCAAAGGGGCACTGGTGGTGATGGGGCTCTGAATCGAAAGGACCCCAGCCCACCACCCTATTTTGTTTATGTCACCGGTGGCAGGGCCGATCAAATGCGGCGAGTTGGATGAATACATCCTCTCCTACCACAATTGGTGGCGGCGAAATTAAATGAATTAAAAAGGTCATTGCTTTGCATTGTGCTTGTGGTGAATCAGCGTTGTTTCAAACTTTTAGTGAGTGGTTTCGAACTTTCATTCATGAACACTTTCTTGAATGCATGCAGCGGAGCCTACCATTCCATATGGATCCCCCAGCACCCATACAGGGTCAAAGTGTTTTGAGTTGTGGTTCGCTGAGGCTCCTTGCAAGCACCTTGTGGAGCTGGCCCGGGCGGAGGTGGCAAGGAATGTCGCTGCAAGCCGTACACTGAGAGCATTTGCTCAGGTACGGCTCAAGGATGCTGAAGCAGGGGTTCACAAAGTTTTGGTGGACAATGGCTACAGTGCACCAGTGACTGTTGATGAAATTGATCTTGGAGAACCAAAGTACAGGCGATTCCCATTCATCAAGCTAAGTTCATGGGCCCAACACCTTTTGGACACGAACAGGTTGCCCAAACAATTTGTTGGAGTGAAAAGCTTGGAGAAAATGCAGCCTGTGCTGGTGGAGTATTGGCGGAGGTTCAAACAGTTGAGGCCAAACCATCGTGTGTTTGAATTGGAAGCTGCTGGTACAATTTCGCTGTCCAACTGCATCCCATATTATTCACACAGCGACGAAGGACGATCGTTCAAGCACCTCCCCATTTGGATTCTTTCTTCCCACGGCGCATTGGGAAGAGGAACTAGGTTCTACTTGGCTTCTGGAAAACATAGAGCACCTCTTAGGAGGAACGGCATGGGCCTCAACTTCGTAGGAAAGACGTGGAGCACAAATTACATCTTCACTGCAGCCATGAAGGTAGTGCTTGTTGATGTTCCAGATGCATTGGACAAATTGGTTGCTGCCTTTGCCTCTGATGCCCAAATGCTGTTGGAGACAGGCTTGCTGTCTAGAGATGGTCAAACAAGAGTTTGGCTGGCGCACATAGGTACAAAGGGTGATCTTCCAGCACTAGTGAAACTAGGAGGGATGAAGAGATCATTCAGCAATGTGCCTCGAGGTCCAAGCTCCAAACGTGCGTGCCGTGGGATCTGCCATGCCTGCATGGCAGGGCAGGAATTGGATGCAAATCAAGGTCGTGCAGCTGTGCCTTTCGAGGACTTCAGTCCGAATGCGGCATGGGTCTCAACAAGGTTTCAGGAATTGCCTTGGGATGTCACGCCTCCTATCGTCCAGGGACTTCATTTGTCAGAGGAAGACCAAACGAGCTTTTTCAACATTGATCTTTGGCACAATTGCCACATGGGCATTTGCAAGCACTTCTGCGCCAGTTCTTTCATCGGGATTCTTGAGTCAGATCTTGATGCTGTGCCGCGTGTGGGCATGGAGGCCAAATTTCAGTGGATTACCCAAATCTACTTGAACTATTTCAAGAGCAGAAGGGTGAACCCATTTGTTCGGGAAATCAGCAGAGACACCATGAATTTTCCTGCAGGGACAGCGTGTCCCATCGGGAAATGGTCTAAGGGTCAAGCCTCCACTGAGATGATGATGTTCCTGCATTTCTTTTGTCGGCAGTACATAGAGGGCAACACGGCTGACCCTTTGCTGCTGACAATAGCTCCTTATCCCAAAATTAATCTCCATTGTTGTCCTTTGTTGTGTTGTTGAACCTATTTTTTTATTTTGACTGTCGATCCAAACCCCATGCCAAGTTTGACTTTGGAATCATCTGTTCATGTTTTGGATCGTGTTACTGGAGGCTGATGCTGCTCGGGCACTGAATTTGGCGCTTTCAACTTTGTATCGGTCAGGGTACTGGCTCCAAAAAGAAAAGGCTGCACTACTGGCAAAGTTGATGTTTCGGTTCTTGGCATTGTACGCTAAGTGTGCAGAGTTGACATTGAGGCAGGGAAAACGGCGCTTCGCAATGGTGCCGAAGCTACACATGCTTGCGCACGCTGCCTTTGACCTTCAAGACCAATCATCTCGTGCGGAGTGGGCACACAACCCGCTAGCCATGACAAACCAGATTCAGGAAGATTTCATCGGAAGGCCCTCGAGAATCAGCAGGAGAGTCAACATACGATCCCTGCATAAATCACTGATTATGAGAACTTTGATTGTTTACCAGGACAGCTGGCGAGTGGCTGATAGTGATGAAAGGGGTATGGATGGGTATCCCGATGTGTGATAACCTTTACAATGCATCTTAAGGTTCATCAATCCACCTTTTGTGTATCCAACAGAATCCACCACCAATGGTTCGGCAAACTACTCATTGCAGTGGCCCTCCAACACCCTGTCAGAGCTTGGATCCCGAACGGTTGATCGAAGCTGCACTCACGAAGCACCGTGAGAAAGAAACAGCTGAGGAATGGGCACGTGGGCGGATTGGAAGGGTTGGTTGGCATGATGTTTTTGTGAGTTGTATAACACCAACGATTGATGTTTCAATAGCAATTAGTGATCATCATGAAAACACAAAATATGGAAGGTACGTGTTTTTGGCAAAGGGCCGTATTTTGAGGAATCCAACTTATACATGTTCATTCCATGACCCTATGATCAAAAGAGAGGACCAACCGGCCCCAGGTATACATGCCATATATATATATATTCACAGGGATATTGGGATATATATTCAATACATGCGTGTATTGCTTGGGATGCGGATCATTTGGGCAGGTCAGCCATAAATATAATCATATATACATGCCTTCCGGTTAAGCCCCGCTTTGAAACCATTTGAAACCATGCTTCTCAAAGGCTCAAACCCGCATAACATCTCCCAACATGTAGCAGTTTGGTCAATGAGAGTCTGGGTTGGACACATATCCAAACTCAAACCACGACTTGCCAAACTCGATGGCTGAGAGCTTGAATTGGTTGGTTGTCAACTTGATCCAACTGCATCCAACTATGAATCCAAGTCAACTAACCCAAACTGAACAAAATGCCGCCCAGATCTAAAGAACCGTCCAAGCAACAAATCACCAACCACCCGCTGCTTCGTTTCTCTCCCTTCTGTTCACGCCCAGTGTCTGGCGACGACGTCCACTGAGCCCTCGAAAAGGATGAAGAACTTGTCCCCGACCTCATTGGCTTAGCGGCGAGACTCGCTCGCCAAACATGCCAACACACGACCCGAGCAGTCTGGGATTTCGCATACAACAAGGGGATGAGGTCCACGTAGGCGTCTGCATATACCCCAGAAGACAAGTGCCGGGATTTCACGGGGTGCATCTTTAGTTGACTACCATCTTTTGTGCATGATGCCTACCACAACTGGTGGTTGGGGTACTGTACCTGGTCTGTCTTTGTCAGCATCATGAAAATCCCGATTGTGTCTAAATCCCTTCCATATTCACTTCGGTCAGGGTTCAAGGACCTCTCACCAAACACTCCTGTTCAACTGAAGCTCTTCATACGATTCATACCCATCCCCAACCAAGAAGAGGGGTCCACAGGGCTCTGAAAGCCAATCGGGTTAGGTGGTTTCACCTCACGAAGGAAGAATATAAGTCAGTGGGTTGAACAAGCCAAGGTTGAGGTTGAAGCATCAAAGAAATCTGAAAGCCACGCGGTTTTTCCATCGAATCTGCACTGTTGGCAGGGAGTGGTTTTTGGGCTGATCGAACCTCCACAACATCATCTGAAACTTCTGGAGAAACACAGCATGTGTGAGCGGCAACCGCGGTTGCTTGATCTAGTGACTGATCTGGGGTGAACTGATCGCCACCATGATGCAATCACAACAGGCAGCAACACCTTAAAAGGGAGAACAACTCTTCCAAAGATATTCCTTCAGTCAACCCAGCAACCAACAACCCCTCCGACCCGATCTCCCATCGACCGACCAGAACCGCCCGGCCTCGCCGAAGCAGGCGACCTCCTCGTCCTTCTTCACCTCCATCCGCTGCGCCGAGGCCACGATCTGATCCAGCTGCTCCTAGGACTGCGGGCGGCGGGGCGCCCTACTGCGGTGCGGGCGCTCGGCTGGACATTCTCCAAACGATTGGACCACAGAAACCAAGATGAGATAGTTGCTTGGAACTGGGCCACCTGAGACTAAAAGCTCTGGCAAGAGATGAAGAGCCAACGACCTTCCCGAGACGCGTAGAGCTGAAGGGGCATATAATATGTATGCCCATGCTGGAAGACTGGCACTTCTCAGGGCCAGTCCACTTAATCAGGACATCCAACAAATCAGGAGGACATCAGATCACCTGGTCGGGTCGAGAGCCTAACGCCCCCCCGGTCGAATCCTGAAACGGAGGTCGGACCGACCACGTGAGGCCGGCGACGTTGCTTGCTTTTCCCCCCTGTGGGCTGCCCCAGTTGGTCTGTAGGTGTGGGGATTGATTCTTCCAGAAGGGGTCAGAAGCAGAAATGGTTTCTTTCTGTGTTGATCTATTACCCAGACGCTCCATGGGACTGCCATATATGCCGATCAGTTGGGGTGGTTTGAGGGGTCAATTGATCGGCATATTTGGCATACATGGAGTATCTGGGTTAGGAGCTCTTCCTCATCTTCCTCCTTCTTCGACTGCGGAAGCGCCCGCCGCTTGGAGCCTCGGTCATGTGCAGCAACGCACGGAGGTTGGCATTCCGGCGCACCTGAGGAGCAGAAAGGCTGGGTGTTGGGTTCACCGGCAGCTGGTTGGCACCAGCCCCAATAAGACATCAAACGGAGATCGAAGTCTACAACGCTTCTATTTTTTGAACGTTTGGTGTTGTATGTGGCCATAGGCTACCCGCCCTACTTCAGGAGTTCTAAAATCAATGTCTTGGTCCTATGTTCTGGTTGATAGTGTGCTACCGTACCATCCATTAATAGAGTCGTAAACAACAAATGGGCAACATAAATACAAACATGCAGAAAAGCTCAGGAGCCTGTCCAAGCTTGTCACGTCTCAATTGCTCACATCATCATGAAGAGTATACTTTCAACAAATCACCATGGGATCAACCATTGCTGGAACTCCTCCAAGTCTTACGACACATATACTAAATTCAAACATGAACGAAAAAACAGCAATATCATGCACAACATGCAACGAAAAACAGCAAAATTCAGAACAAGAAAAACCGTGCGCCCTTTTCTCTTGGCACCCAAGAATTGCTTCCACACACAGCAACACTTGGAAAGAAACACCGGATGAATGTCATGTCACAGCAATGGTCAGGTGCAAAGGGTCGTGTTTTCCACTGGAACAGTGCTCTCACCAAACGCGGCCATTGTTCAACGGAAGCTCTTCATACGATTCATACCCATCCCCAACCAAGAAGAGGGGTCCACAGGGCTCTGAAAGCCAATCGAGTTGGTGGTTTCAACTCACGAACAAAGAATATGAGTCAGTGGATTCGCAAGCATCCCAAGTAAAGGTTGAACATCAAACAAATCTGAAACCACCACCCAGAAATTGGCTTTAACCCTCCAAAAGAAGCGTGTTAGTACATCTTGGACATTCTCAACGCAATCCAAGGGGATCTGGGGTTGTGCCATTTGGGCGCTTCTTGTGCGCTGTAGCCCCATATGAAGGTTATTTTTTTACAATCCAGATTAGGTGGTTTGTATGGTGTTGTTAATCATTCTACATTATTGACATCCCTCCAAACAAATCAACCAATCATGCAAGTGGAACAATGAGCCCTTCCAAGTTAGGACATGTTCTCTAGAAGGATTTTTTTCCAGCTTCGATGAGGACACCTGAGGGTCTCTGCCGAGCAGCTGCTTGTGAGATGAAGAGAGTCTCTTGAGGGCTTTTTGGCACTCGATCGCCCACCTCCTCACAACGGCGCAAGCATCGTGAACCATCGTGAGGAGATGTGTGTACTGGTGACTGGTCAGCAGTTTTTTCAACGTCATGACTTCACAAAACACTTGAGAGGCGGGGAACGAAAGCGATGACGACGACACGACGATCATAAACTAGAATTTCAGCTGACCTCCTTCGGAGATCGCTTTCGTGACAGGGGATCGCTTCCGAGAGTTCAGGATTCCAATTTCTTTATGGTTTTAAGTCGAGAGAGGGTGAGCCTGTGAAGCAAGTTGCCCCTGAAAACGTACTTTGTGTTTAATGAGGAGAAAAAAAACACATGAGCTGACCTCCCGAGCCGTGTCGTGTTGGACAAATAACGGGGACCAAAACGCAGGGCCGACGCAGAGTGACAAACCTCGTTCCACTGATTCCCCAGAATTCGGGGAACTGCGCAGGTCATCTACCTTCTCTCCAGGTGAAGGGGCGTCCGAGCTTTTTCAGCCCAAGGGTCCGAGCTTGAGGCTGCTGGAAGCTCATTGTGAATCGCAGCACGCTTCGGGAAGCGCAAGAGCTGGGAGATGCCTGGCGGCAAAGAACACACTCCCCTCTTCGGGGCCAACAAGGCTATAGATATGGGTCTATCCTATTTCCTGTAACAGTGGATCATGATGGTTCAGTTGCAGGCCTTGATCAAAAACAGTGATAACATGTTTACTTGACTGTTACAAAGTACTGAAGGTCATGATCTTGATGCCCGTCCAAAACCCGCCTGAGTCATGGAAAGCCTTGCGGGACATGGACAGAGTCACCACTGGCTCCTAGGCATGTTGCTACGTCGGTATGTCGCCGACCAATTCCAACAGCTCACAGTTCAGGCTTCCCAAGCGATGGTTGATAATTATTAAGATGTTGTCCAAATATGCATATAATTTGGACCTGCCGCAGTAACGGTCGTAACGGTCGATCATGATATAGTATGATATAGGACCTTCTCTAAACTAGTTAGAATTGTTTCCAGACTGCATGGACTGCGATTTAATAGGATTTGGAGTCTTTGGGTCGTTCCGTTCGGCGGTGGAAGGACACGTAGAAAGCGCAACAATTTCAGGTCGTCTTCACTGCAAAACAACAAGCAAACATCCGCCAAATTGAAAACATGCCTGGAGTGTATAATACGTCTTCGCCAGCAATCCCCCAAGAGAAGGTTCTTCCAGAATGTCCTGGGTGCCAAAGTCCTCAGAAGATCTAGTAGCTCCAAGATGGGCCTAAACACCAAACAACCATCACACTTCTTCCTCAAAGATCTGGAGGCCTCCACATACCTCCATCTCTTCCTGCGCGCATGTATATATATATATATTATATATGTCTTACACTATACAGTATCTACTACGAGTATCTACTTCACGTTATCAATCTGTGCATGCCATATATGCACAAAAATAAGTACAAACACACCTGCGCTGCGCTTGGAAAAAGCGCGGTCCTTCCCGGCCGGACGGATCGTGGCCACATTGTTGCGCTCTTCCATCAGTGACCGACCACCCCAGTAATCACCCTTCCTGGCACATGGGCGGAACCGAACCATAAGGACGACCCTATAGACATGCTAGTGAAAAATGCCATGCCTGTATAGTCATCAATCATAACAAAAATTAGCAATCAACTTCTCATTGGTCTGTAGAATTCCAATTGGTGAAAGCCAAAGGGGACGAAAGCCTGTTACAATCCAGGAAAGAATCATGCAAGCGAAGCAGTTCGGTTCCCTGTTTGTCCTTTTCCACAGTTATATAGGGGGGGTGCATGAGAAGGCTCCCATGCCTGCTATCAAATCGAAGCTGATTTGAATTGGATGCACAGCACTGTGCAGTGCCGTGGTGTTCCCACGCACCCCACCTCCGGCGCCGGCGAAAGACGCGGCAACACCACACCACACTGGCTCTCGCGGCTCCGTTTGCCCGCTCCGCCCGCCTCAGGACGGCTCGGACGATGCCGGGCTCGTCCTCGGACTGAGTGAAGACCTCGGCTTCGCCGGACATGATGAGGTAGAAGGCCTTACCTCAGTTCGCCCCAGTGAAGGCAGCGGGTGAAGGTCGAGGGGATCCCAGCAATTCAGGACCGATCTCCTTCATCGATTCGGTTTCGACGAACAAAAGAGCCACATCCATCTCTTATTAACCAGCCCAGCGAACGATGCAAGTACGATCCAGCCTTTTCGACGAAAGCGCCATGCCCGACCAACGATGCACGACCAACGATGTTTGGAGGACAGCACCACCTGCATGAAATCGTGTGTAAAAAGGGTCACGCAGAGGGCCTCTGTGAACGTTCATATCCCATGACCATGTTATCCGTGGATGATGGTTAGGTTGCAGGCCAACATCTCAACAAATGTGATAATTGACTGCAATGAGACACACCCGAGTCGTCTATCGAAGGGCCATTCACTTCACGGGCCGTTCAGAAGGGCTTGCCCAAGAACGGCCCTTGGACCTGAATAAAGAACGAACCACACCAGGGAGCTCCAAAGGTGTCCAAGTTAGTGTCCAAGTGTTCACCCCGAGATGCACAACTAGGTCTTGGAATGTCTTTGGAAATTCATCAGGGCGCGCAATAGGAACTCCTTGGCGGTGCAACTTTGTAGCCCTGCCCACGGCATGTTTAAAGGCGTTGTCCCGCCAAATGACCTAAATCACCTTGCTTCACGATATCTTGCCCTCGCTGCCATTCTTTCCTCTTCAGCTTTTGCGCCACCTGACCGCCCAGCTCAAAACCCTCGAGCCGGGACCGCCATGGGCCGTGATGGACCGCCACACCGTGTAGACCGGCTTCCGGAGGGTTTGCCCGATTGGGACGAAACGAGTGACATAGATCCCCATCAGGTGCACCCTAATAGTTATAATAGAATTTAAGAGCTATAAAACCGTACAGTTTAGAATGATTCATGTAGTCGGCCTGGAAGAACCCACTGCGATACCACCTAAGAACAACAGCCGACAGCTCTATAACATTATAACATCATTCCGCCCCCAAAACCAAGGCTCCCCTCTCCACCCCTCCATCCCTTTCAATCACATCATTCACTACGTCACATCTGCACCGGAGAAAAACCTCGTTAACATCCCGTGCGACGCATCCAACGATCTCATGAAACCGTCCGACGCAGCTGCCTACCTCTCGGAGCGCGGGAGCTACTCGTCTCGAGCGAGAAGCTGCCTACTCCTCGCTGAACGTCTCGCCTTGGGAAGCTCGGAGCGGGGCAGCTGCGTCTTGAAGAGCGGCACTGAAGCCAAGAAGGTCACGATCTCCTGCTGCTCGCGGCCACGAGCACTCGGTGGCGCGGTTGGTTGGCGTCGTGTGGACTTGATCGAAGTCTCAGAGGGGCGAAGAAAACAAGAACAAAGGGGAGGGAGGGAGGGAGGGGGGAGGGAGGGAGGGAGGGAGGGAGGGTTACTAGAAACGGTCGACAAAAAAGGTAGATGGATCTCAAGTGATTTTAGCATAATGTATGCCGAGGAGGATCCACTGCGAGCTATCTGGGTGTGTAGGGGGTGGGTGATTTCTTGCCCTGAAAGCTGATGACTAACAGATTGATTGAAGTCTAGCACCCCACAGGGCAGCCAAAAACACACTCACACATGAAACCGCGTCCTCAAAGTCCTCTCTGCAAAGATGCATGTCCTGCCGGCGTTGTTTCGCTTCATAATTTTCAGAGCCAAAGCAGTACCTTTCGAGGACTTCCGGCAGAATTGCTCGTTCTGCTCTCTGTGGGTGCAGCATCCCTTTGCAGCTGACGGTCGGTTTCAAAGTTTCAACTTCATGGTATGATGCCCTATAGGGATCTATATAGGGAATTTATTGGTACCTTTCTCTTTTGTTCACAGCGACCCTTTCTCTTGTATGCAGCGTCTTTCAAGAACAACCATCTCGCTTGTTCCAAACATGTCTCCCCCGTTGCGATGCGTTGCACGTTCTCTCACTCCGCCACGCTGGAAGCGAGGTCTCATCCAACACCGGAAGTCGAGCTCGCGAGGTCGGTCAGAAAAGAGGCGATTTTGCCCCGAGAAGATCCACATGTCTTGGGTCCTGATACTTGATACCTGTGAAAGAGGCTACGGCTAAAGCGCCCCGAAGAAGATCCACATGTCGATGCCGTAAAGCTGGAAAAAAAGTCCGACATGACAAGGGAGCGACTCGACGACTGGCACTAAACACCGATCACCTGCTCTCTAGTCTCTAGAGGTTGACCCAGGCTTTTCTCCACATTTTTCGGTTGAGAGGAAGTCACAGGAAACGGATGGAAGCGAATGGTATCACCGAACCCCTGCGTGGGTTGTCCAACATCTCTTGGCAGGATCACGTGGAGAAGCCCCGGTAGTTCCGGTAGCTTCGGCGGCGCCAAGCGCCGCGGCACACGGTGGGATCACCCAGGGACCAACGAAACACTTAGCTGTCTAATAGGTCCTTCGCAACCTGCTACATGGTTGATTGTGACTCGTTGATGGAAGGTGAGACACACCTGAGTGATATTAAGCCCAAAACAAACACACACATATGCACATGGGCTCATACACAGTCTGCTCGACATCGGTCCTCCACTACCTGGCCATGAGCCACGTTGCTCGTGAACCATGCACTCCAACAACTCCAGCAGCTGGGCGCCATAGCGCTTGGAGCTGCGGGAGCAGCTATGAGTGTTCTGAAGACGAGACGGGATCAAAAGGGCTCCAGTCTGCCATGAAAAACTGGGGTGGACGATGAATCGTCACGATTTTCCCACCACTCTTTCGGCACGACTGGATGTAGGATGAGCTCTCGATCTGACCAAAGGGATCCAACGGGCGAACAACGTAAGGGCTGTAGGGGATCTGCTTGGACAAGCATGCCCCGGCTCCGGATCGGCTTGCTCGGTGGATGTGTGCAACGGTGCAACCGCGGTTCTCCGCGGTTCTTCCAAATTCTGGATTACTCACTTGAGACAAAGGACGAAGCGGAGAACTCCAACCGACAGCAAAACAACTATAAACATCATCCAGCTTCGTTTTCAAGTCCGATCTTTTTCATTGTTGTTTTCATCTCTTCGGCGTTCCGTCCGGTTGGGAGGCGACGACGCCGGGCTTCTGTTGAAACAGGCCATAGCCCCCCCCCCCGTGGACGAGCTGGATGCGGGGTCGACGGGCCTCATGCAATCACCGGAGTCCTGGAAAAACACGGACATCAAACGGACAAACACACGCACACACATATTTCCTACTCCGGATCCCGTCTGGCGAAAAGAGATTGCTTCTCTCGCACATGTCCACAGAAAACAACACACCACTTCTCTCTCTCTCTCTCACTGTTCCATGGTTGGAGTATGTTGGAGTGAAAAAATAAGAAAATAACACACCACGACCAGGACTCAAAACTGTTTTGGCTGGAAGTGGCGCGACTCCACGATCGGAGCTTGGCACAAGTTTGGTCCCGAAATGCAAGAAGCAGAAGAAAACACTAAGTCAAGGGCTCAATTATTTAAGACTGGGTCTGCTGATGGTCTGTTTCCACCTGTCATCTGCCACCTTTTTTCCTCATCTGCTATTCCAGAAAGCCCTCGAAGACCAAAGGCCTGCGCCGAAACTCGGGAAGGGGTTTCCGATCAAGATCGCCCACAACACTGGGGGAATTCCATGAAAGCTTGAGAGTGGACATCTTCATGGCGGCAGCAATTGTTGCAACCATCAACATTCTCTGCAGGGTTGGCAGTTGATAGGAAAGTCGTGGTAGTGGAATCGAGCAATAGCAATAGCTGTTGGTGTTTTGCTGGTGGTGAGGTGGTGGTGGTGGTGCCGCTGTAACAACCCCCATTGGCCCAACACAAATGTTGATCATGGTCGATCGAGATTTGCTGCACCCATTCCATAAACAACTTCTCATCAGGAACACAGCTATACAGTTCACTGCACTACATCGAACGTTGGGCCGCGGCATGTCTGTTGCACGCCTAGGCCAAGGGGCGTGCCTGTGGTCGGAGGTGTCCAAAGACTTGGGCAGAACCATTCCAAGGCCTCCTGTCCGACATCATGCACAAGCCTTCATGTTTATTGCCATAGGTATTCCCCCCAACATATTGTTATATTGTTTTTGTTTTTTGTTTGAAAACAATTATATATATATATATATCATATATCTATACATATCTACATCTATTAAGTATACTTTTATTATGTTTTATTTGTATACATATAGAAATTAATACAATGTACATACAAAGAGCGATAGTGAGAGAGTCAAAGAAAAAAAACAAGAAAATCAAACAACAAAAAAAACACAAGATTCCACAAGTACAAGTCAGTGGTTTCGGAGATCTGTTGGGTGGTCTAAAATGCGAACCTTGGAAACCGACGCGGAAAATATCACCTTGCTCTAGAGAACGAAAAATCAACATGAGGCATTTGTTTTCTTACAACATCTTACAACCATACAGCTGGCAAACTGACCTGGACCTTTGAGGTTGCCAAACGCGGCATCTAGCGCCAAAATGAAGAGCACTGAAGAAAGGGGGTGCACAAAAACAAACAATAACTCAAAATTTCGAACTGACAAATGTGCAAAATAAAACCGCCCTCCCTGACAGAAGCCCAAAAAAACCGGAGACCCCACAGTGGCATCCACGACTCCCGAGCCGTGTGAAGTGAACGGTCGTTCGTCATCGGTCAAGGTCATACGATGCAAACAGTCAGTAGTCACCTGTAGTCTAATCACGATTGTCTTCCTTTTTGGACACAAATGATCACAAATGGGGCAGCAGAAAACCCTTTGATGGTTTTTCGAGTTTGATATGCTGAACCGTTGCTCTCTGTCGGCCTTGAACCTGCTTCAGCCGCTGATGCTGCCGGTCCTGGTTTGGTTGGTCTTGCGTGGCGGCCCCCCCAAACGCTAACAACAACAACAACAACAACGTAGTAGTAGTAGTAGTAGTAGTAACCCGTCAGCTAAGCCTCTGCACATTTTTTTACTTAGAACTTCTCCTCCATCCTAGAAACAATACTGCAGCCCCGTTGTTGTTTTTTGGACCCACCCCCTCCGGAAGAACACCTCAAAAACACGAAAAACGGACCAGCCCAGACTTCAGTGAAACAAGTCCAACAAGTCCACCTACTTACGAAACCAACATTCGCTCAAACCTTCAACCGTATCCCTAACCTTGACCCCTTGAAGTTCCAAAGCTACAACATGTGACAATGATGTTGGGCGGCTGTTTTTGTTTCTACCAACAACAACAACAATACCTCCAGTCTGGTTCCTAGGCTGGACATTGTTGGATCCTAAATGGATCGAGCCAGCAAGAAGCACTGGTCTGGGCGTTGGTGCGATAGAGAAGAAAATTGAGATCCGACCCTGCTTGACCCTTTTCAGATAGTACGTTGTTCAGTACGGACTGTTTTTGGCAGCGCACTCCAGCAGCTGTCCGTCTTGGGTTGTGCCACGAAGGGGTTGTGACGGGTTGTGTCATGTTGTGTTCCTTCTTCTTCTTCTTCACCCAAAACGGCACCAGCAAACCCGTGCGAATCGTATACTTGGATTTGCTTAAAGAACCTGGAAAAATAAAACATACTTGCAACCTCTTTTTTTGGGTGGTCAGTAGTTCAACACAGCTTTATTTAAGTCTGTGAGCCACATAAACATCCGCTTGAAAAACAAGTTCGGGAAGAAATCCCTGTGGCTCACCAATAAATGCCCTTAGCTTGTGTATAAATGCCCGTGGAATATCATTAAAAAAACAACAAATAACTAGAGAAACATCCGCAGACTCAAATACAAGGCTGTGACTCCAAAAGGTGTTTTCAAAGCACTCTGAGGAAGTTCCAGGTATCAATATTTCCCATGAGGGGATTTAACTTAAAGATCGAGGAAACGCATGATCTATCATGATCTTAAAACCATGTATATATGTGCATGTGTATTTACAATATTTTACAATATGCTCACATCGCCCCACCGATTCTTCCGGTCCAGCTGGCCGTGGAGCTGCAGCACCGATCGGAGCAGATCGGACACGACCTCCTCACCGAGCGAGCTCTGGCGGTGAGGTCGAGCTCGGACGAGGTCGCACCCGGTCGGTCGGTCGAACGGGTAAAGCTTGAGGGTTTTTTTGGAACAAGCGCTACAATCAGCACATGTAAAACTTCTCTGATTGAGCCTCCACCTAGTATCTTGTTTGCTACTATAGTAATGCCCTTGTGACTAGTTACTAGTAGTTTCCTGTTGCTAGCGATGGCCCTCAACCTAATAGCGATGGCCTCCACCTAGTAACGTTCTTGTTGCTAGTAGCCACACATGCCGACAAACGTTTGAATTAATATCTCTGGTGCTATGAGGTCATACCCTACACGTTACTTGAAGGTGCCGTACGCCATCGTCTGCTTAAAACAGAAACGTGATCGTTGGAGGTCTGGGGCAAACTCGCTGAGAGCGTCGGCACAGGGGGCCGGTAAATCTGTGGTCCCAGTTGACCCGGTTGAACCCAGTTGACTTTGTGTGATGGCAAGTATGGTAGTGATAGTGATAGTGGTAAAGGAAGAAGAAAGATGAGTAGTAGTAGTAGTAGTAGTAGTAGTAGTAGTAGTACAAGTAGAAGTAGAAGTAGAAGTAGTAGTAGTAGTCGTCGTAGTCGTAGTAGTAGTAGTGGTAGTAGCAGTAGTAGTAGTAGCAGTAGTAGTAGCAGTAGTCGTAGTAGCAGTTGTAGTAGTAGTTGTAGTAGTAGTGTAGCAGCAGTAGTAGTAGTAATAGTAGTGGTAGTAGTAGCAGCAGCAGCAGTAGTGGTAGCTTGTTGGGGTTAACTGGGTTAACGGGGTCCGGAGATTTAGCGTGGCCCCCTATGCGGTCGCTATGAACTCGTTGCTGTTTCTTCTGAGTCCTACAGCTCCTAGAATGTCCAGCCAGTCAGCTCAAAACTGTAGGCTGTAGGATTCTGTAGTCTTTTTGTACCTTTTCTTGTGGTCCAAAATATAGGGAGACCTTGACTTAAACAGCAATTTCCAAATGCTTCATACATCTTCATACCCTACAGTGCAATGACCTCATTGTACTTGAGTCCGTTATATAAAAACAGAAGACGAGGTTTTACATGGCTTTACTGGGTGAAACTGGACTTGTAGGGTATCAGCAATGTCCTTTTTGAGGGGGCGACTCCTGCCGCACCGGCGCTGGCGGCCGCCAGGGGTGGCGCCAACGGTCGCGGGACAACGACGGCGTGGTCGCGGGGTCCACCTCCTGCGCAGGGCACTTTCTTGGCGGGTGGAGGAATAGGTCTAGTATGCCAGGAGCTACTAGTAGCGATGCCCTTGTTTAGATCCTCTCTTGGAGTAAAGTTACAATTACAAACTTGTTGTGTCAATTTACAAGTGTCATATATAATTACACGCAGTTGGAAATTATTATGTCATGTGCCTTTCATTCTGTGCGTTGTTCATTTTCATGTGTTTTGCATTGATTCGGCTGTCCCACGGTTACAGGGAACTCTAGTGGAAGTTAAGCACCAGGGCTCTGCCCTGACAAAGCAGTGACTCTCGGGCTGCTGCAAATAAAACAACTCAGTCAAACACCTAGAACACCCAGCCAATCGCACACTCCCCATGCATGGAACATTCAAAGACTAAACACGCACACATTTTGGTGTGGTTTCAGGGGGTCAATGTAGGCAAATTATTCCATTCGCATCCAGTGTCTGAGATTGCTTGGGCATCACGTTTCAGGTCCCGTTTCAGGTCCACGATCGCTCTAGCCTCCCTCGAAGCTGACATGGTTTTCACACCTCAACAATGTACAATTGAGTCTTCCATTTGCCATGCTTTAAACCCCGTGATTCTAGAATTTCCAGAATTCATCCACGAATCATGAATTCACATCTCCCTCTTTGTCGGGTCTTCTGACACCTTTCAGACACCCCATCAGGCCACTGCTTGGTTGATGTTCCGAATCTCTTCGTGACCGAAGTGGTCTCTGAACACATGCGAAGGCTCGCCTGGCGCGAAGGCACGCCATCCTCAGGTGTGACGGTGCGCTTGGGCTTCAAGTCCTGCGCGAAAGGCACCGAAAGGCACGGGCCGCACGGGAAGGTCACAGGATCGAAGGAAAAAAAAAGACTGGTGGGAGGATGCTTTGCAAATGGATCGCCTGAAGGATAGAGATAGACAGTGAACCTGCTTACCTTAAGGTGATTGGGGGGTTCTATTTAAGTTACGGTTCGGTCACGATCAGAGGTGCTCTTCACTCCGAAAGTTACATGCAACCACCCGCTGGCATGCAACCCCCCCAAAAAAATGACTTCAATTGGACACCCAACTCTAGCGCGACTTGCGATCCTAGTCTATCGCGGCATGTCACGGCCACCCAAAAAGCCACACTCCTCGAAGATGGAGTATGTACCCACACAACTGGATCAATACACAAAATGGATCTCCTCGAGTAGATGGAGTATAAATATGACCCAAACGCTCCATGTATGCCATATATGCCTACATTGGGGTGGTTTGAGGGGTCAATTGATCGGCATATATGGCATACATGGAGCGTCTGGGTTATTGTATGATCCCAAAAAAAACCGAGCGATGCCGCACTCCCACGCGTTCACAGGGACTCCTCGAGTTGACGCTCCAAGAGCCTCACCTGCTGCAAGGCCTCCGTCGAGGCGGCCAAGGCCCGCAGCCAGGGCAGGCGCTGCACCGTGTCCGCCAACACCTCGAGACCGGCGCGCGGCACGGACGTCGAACGAATCGCATGAAACAAACGCAACGGCTGGAGTTGTTGGACTGTTCTAAGAAAGCGAACCCGTAACCTTCCTCATGACTATAAATGCAAACATGTTCAACTGGTCGATCTCCACTACTATATAAGCAAACCAATGATCTATACAGTATACATGATAGTACATGGCATGACCAACAACTGGTCCATCTCATTTTAGACCCAGCTTCCGCGCGGCTGTAGGCACGAAACGCGCCGAAGTCGGCTTCCGCTTCGGCTTGGCAGTGCCACTGGAGGCCTGAAGACCGGACATCACATCGAAGACACGCACACACACACACACGAGACAAACATACAGAAAAACACCTGGCACCTGGTAGGACCTCCAAATTGCTCTCTGGACCACCCGATTCTGCGATATTTCAAGGTTTTGAACGGTATGACTGTGATTGGTCTCGCATCCCGCCCAGAGAAAAACTCCCAAGCCTCGCATCCGTCCCGTGAAACCGGGTCCTCCCCACCGTGTCCTGAAGGAGCTGCGGGTCGAAACAGCATGAAGTCGCCCGTCGCACCTGGATCTGATGCGGTCCGCGTGGGGATGGATGCTCCGGAACATCAGGAATCAGTCTCGTGCTGTCAAACCAGTTCAACCTGCGCAGAAGGGCGCTCCAATCGCGATCCTCGATCGACATGGCCAGAAGTAGCTCAAATCTGCGTCCATGAACTAAACCTTGGACTGGCTTAAGGAACCTGGGTTCAAATCGACAACTATTTCACCACACCACACACACACCACACACCGCACAGATCCATGGCGCACCTAGACATGCCCTTCCCCGATGCGCAAATATTTAACTGTAAAAGGGGATTTAGCGATTTACATGGAACATCATGGAACATCGAACATCAACCGGATCAGCACAACCAGGATCCGATGCTCCTGGGTTTGGGATTTTGGCGATCTGAAACCAAACACCCATCGCTCTTGCCAGAGCATGATGGTAGTAGTTATGCCTGGGGTCATTTTCATGTAGGTAGCTATTCCAGTCCGTCCGCTGGCCAGGGCGCAGGGATTGCTTTCGAAGGCGGTGGCTTCCATCGGCGCCACCGACTGGAAGCTGCTCCAGAAGGCATCCTCCACCCGATCCACGGATCACCTCACCTCACCTGTACCGTGAACGGGTTCCAAGGGTTTACATGATGGAGATCCACTTACGTAATGTATTCGAAGAGCCGTATACTTAACCAAGCGGTCCATGGTGTCTCGCAAGTCCGAGGTCACTTAGGTCTGTAATGGTCTGCATTAAAAGAATCACAAGGTCACTATCAGGGACTGCAAACAGGTCACTGTGAGCAAAAATTAGCAAATCCTTCACAGGTGTGGTTCTGGTATGTTCTGGATTGCTGGAGAACTACTATGACTGTTATATATAATTCATTAGTGATACCTTTCCATTGTGGTAACACATGCCACATCAGGAAGATGGTGCAACACTACATCGAGCCCTTATCCATCAACAGTACCACAGTCCAGTCACAAAGGTACAAATCTACATGCCATGGCACAAAAGGTGCTAATATATATATATATATATGTGATAATATATGTATTTATTGCTTTTTAGGACAAAAGCATGAACAACCACTCAAACAGGTAGGAAAAAGACCTCTGCTAGACTCATCATCCGAGCACCATGCCTTCCTTCGAGAATCGCACCGCCCTGCCCGCAGCAAACTGGTAACACCCAGCCCTGGTAGCACCAAGGTGGCCAACACATCCTTTCCAAGTCAGCAAATACCACAAAAAATGGGGACACCAAGTCAGGACTTATTGTGAACAAACACTTTGCAGGAAAAAGTGAAGTGCAAAGCAAACCTTGCAAGAATCGGAACCAGTCTCCTCATACCCCGCACCATTCAATAACTTCTTACCTTATACAAACCCTCGGGATGTCATAAACTGTTACGTTGTTCTTCCTGTCCATTGTCCGACACTTTTAGGCCGCCGGTCCTCCGCCATGAGCTCCTTCAGCTGTCCCTGCGAGCAGTTCCAGTCGCCCAGTAGTGCCAGCGCGGGCGAGTGCCCGGGCTGCTCGGGCACCAAGGAGAGCCTGGGTGATGGGATCGATTGGCGGATGCGGTGTGCGCCGTGGAAAAAAATAGGACACCATATTCTGAAATTGCGCGAGAAACACCCAGCACATCTCCCCGCCATGGGATTTTTTCCATTGAACCAACGAAGATGTGGTCGCAAAAATGGCCGCTGGTGAACAAACCTGAGGTGGGCTGAAGCAAAATTCATGCCAAAAAGCATCATTTCCTTCAATGGCTCCAGGTACTGCAAGTACGCTGCCTGCAACGAGATCGTTGTCGCATGGTCGATTGTTTGTGTGGGTGCTGGGGGGGAATCGAGCTATGTGTATTTAGTATTGAGCACGTAGATGGAGTGAGATGATGGAAGCTTCGCGCCCAAATGCTATTCAAACTGGACATGGATCAAACCAGCTCTGGTGGACCATCTGAACAGTTTTTCTCACCTACTCTGCCTGGTCGCTGCTCTATCTAACACAACGTCTCGTCCCCACCGAGTCGGTCGCTCCGTCGCCCACTCAGAAATGAGGTGGTGCAAGAGAACTCCTTCGACAGTGCTACAGCTGAAGGTCGTCGAAAGGTAGAAATGACATGGTAATTTACTGTGACTAGAAATGATACAGCCAGAAGTCTGCTAATATGAGGCTGTCTCAGCCCAATCCTTTCCAACAGGACTAGCCCCTCCTGTAGTTTCTGGTCATCGCTGCTTCTTTCCAAAAGTGGGTCGCAAACCCATACATTGAATGTAAAATCCGCCGACCCCAGCCTAGCATAGTCTTGGATGTGGAAAGCTGTACATTGCCCTTTCAATTGCACGACGAAAAAAGGGGTCGGCGGCACCAGGGCGGAGCCCTTACTATTTGAATGATCCTGTTGTTTCGTCTCGTTCTTCCCGGTGCGGGCCGTGCCACTCGGCGGATGCAAGTGCACCGAACACAGCACCTGAGAGGCCGCGCGACACAGAGGCTAGCGCGCGGCGGGAGCCGCTTTTGGAGCTCAAACGCGCAAATCCAAAGATCATCCAAATCACAAACCTATCAGGGTGGAGGAGCATCTGCCAACTGGGTGTTTTTGTTGGATGTCCACATCAATGAACCGATCAAGATCTCCAAACGTCCGCCCCCCCCGCCCACCCTCCGCGGACTCTCCGCCCGCTCCGCTCTGCTCCGTGGGTGACGAATTCAAGAACCCCAACAAACCCTCGATCTAATTCATCTACCAGGAGTCACAAAGGGGTGGTGTTTAGTCTCCAAGTGAGTGGATAATGGGCACTCCTAACCTCCATTAAGCACCCCTTTGTGACTGCTGGTACATGCAGTCAAATAAACAGCCATTTTGCAGGATGCACTCCCCTACATGATCAGAAGAAGCCCGTAGGAGGCCAGTGGCGGGTGCGAGCGCCAGGGAGCCAATGGAAAGGTGCCCTCCAGCAAGATCCCGCAGTGGTCGCGCCGCGCCACACGCCTCAGGCGTTTCGCCAGTCGCGGTGGTCGCGCCTCGCTGTTTCCCCGAATCTTCCAGCGGCTGAAATTCATGTACCCAAACACTCATGAACCCTCATATGGAAGGGTCGGAGACCCTGTGGAGGGGTCTGGGATCTCAAAGCCCTAGGTTTTGAGGGACCAAGAGGCTGTTTGGAGCATCTGGAATCTGGTTACATATGTAAACGCACAAGAACCACGGACCGCCATCCTCTGCCAAGGCTCCCGCTACCAGTGGGCATCGTTAACTCGCAATGGGCCTTTCCTGCGGAAACCGTCGTCCGAGTTGAGGGGGGCACATAGGACACAAAGCTCCTCAAATATGGCCCAGTAGCTACGGTCTCCAGCCTAGTAGGGATGGCTTCCAACCTACTAGGGATGGCCTCCAACCTGCAAGGGATGGCCTCCACCTCCTACTAGGGATGGCCTCCAACCTAGTAGCTATGGCCCCCAACCTACTACAAATGTAGTAGCGATGGCCACCAACCTACTAGGGATGGCCTCCAACCTAGTAGCGATGGCCTCCAACCTCCTGTGGATGGCGCCAAATGTCCTCCCAACTTGGATTCGATTTGGTGATGACTATATAATCTCTAAGAGTCTCCGAGACGTCTCCTTCTGATCATGAAATCCTGCCGATGAACATGAGCTGGTGAGCTGAGCCCCGAATGTCAAAACATTCACGTTGTGAGTGAACACGGGCGCCCATCGAATGTTTCCCCAAAAAATGAACCACATCAAACCCCAGTACCTGACCGCCACCATCACCGCCTCGAATCCGCCAGCGGCTCGCCGGGCCCAAGAGCACGGCAGTGGTCGAATCCACCGGGATGCCACGGGCGTCCACATGTGGCGCGCTCTCCACCTGGCGCGACCGTCCGCAGTTTGGGCGTGTGCAGTCTGGCCCGAAAGAGAAGACGCCAACACAAAACAAGCGATGAAACATGCCATGTCAGCCATGAGTCTTAGAGTCTTGGAGATCTAATTGATGGTCTGATCTATCACAAAGCAATGTCGGATCAAGTAATAGCTCATAACGTAGATCGATTTTGGATAGAATAGATCATATATATATAATATAACCCTACACCTCCATGATCCAAGTACCTCCTCGGAAGGTATGACTGGACACTCCTGGCACCCACCCCAGTCCCACCTTCGAAACGAAGGTACGACTGGAGGCCTATAGGGTAATAGATAATCATAGAATGTTGGATAGATCAGATTGCTAACAGGATCCACTAGGATCCACTACGGGCTTTGATCGCTCTGGTCCGGTGTGGTCCGCTGGTCTTGTGTCCGGTGTGGTCCACAGCAGTGGTCCTTGGGCTTTTGGGCACATCCCACTGGAAGCTAATATGGAAGTGAAAATTCCCCTGTACAAGTAGCTGTCTAAAGGGAACATGATCCCATGTTAGTTGCAGGGAGTTTTTTTCCCGCGGCCCAGAGTGGGTGATTACCGAGTGTTACAGGTAGGACCAGTGGCCACGTCACCTCCAGGTGACGTGCCCCCCCGATGTATCGATATACATCGCACAGATCATGTCTCTCATAGTTTTTGATAACTACAATCTGAGCTAATTACGCTTCAACATCATCTCCGTGTATATAACAATTACATGACTCTTCAGTGGAGTCCATCATATCGTTTGGAAGTTCTATCCAATTATTCGTTGCATTATGTTTGTGGCTGATATTCCATGTATTTATATTACAGTGCTTCCTATCCTGATATTGTTTGCCTACATCACTTGGCATTTCCGGGGTCGAACCGCCGACCTTCCGGACAAGTTCCGTACGTCGCGCGCGCGTCCCGCGTCTTCCGCGACCTCCCTCCCAGACGAACGGAACCACCGAGTGCCCAAACCCATCGATCGGGGCCCAGTCCTGGACGCGGAGATGAAAGATGGGCTCCGCCGTGCGGTGCGGAGCGAACATTGGGAGAAACCGGAGCGATGTGAGGCGGCGCGAGCAAGCGAGCGATGTGGGCCTGCCGAAACGAATCATGCCTCTGAATCCCCCACAGCACTGAATTGTGGGAGGCCTCTGCGGTGAAAATGATGCAGTTTTTCCAGAGCAAAAAATGAATTCGAATAAACCATGTAGGATGTGTCGAGAATGTTCACGATGTTTCGATGAAAGGCGTGCTCGCCAGACTTCGCGCTGAAGCCTGGTCCCGATTGAACATGGGATAGAACTGGGATATAGGTCCACCACTAGGTCCTTATTCCTTGGTCCAGTCTATCCAAGTCCTTTCCCGGTCTGAACTCGGTCTTTTCCCACCCGGTCTCGTTTTGATCCTTCCTCTTTCGGTCCTTCAGCGCCCAAGCACGTCCGCAATGCCTGGTCCACCTGCAAAACTCGTCCGCGGGGTGTGAGTGTCCCAAGGCATCGGTTTCTGGGTCTTGTTCAGGTGGTTTGGTGTGTATTTTTGAAGGCTTCTATAGCCCTTTTCTTTTGGTGGTACTTGTCCACCTGGGTGGAAGATGGAAGTGGGTAAGAGCAATACGGTCACCGGTTTCGGGCTACGCCAGTTCAGCTGCTGTGTTGGTGAGCTCGCTGTTGGGCTTCTCGTTTCGTCTTTCGCAGGCCGAGCGCCTGTTGCGTTGGGACCGTCTCCCCGCCTCTTGCAAGGCCACCAGGTCGAAGGCATCAGCCCAAGGCCTTACGGGGACCGGAACCCGTGGCCCCCATTGGTTGTGCGACGATGTGAGGCACGGAACATGATGATACATACAGTATAGCATCATATATTGCATAAGTACTCCCTAAAGTAAGAAAACGGGTAAGTCAGTGAGTTGAGTCAAGGCAGTAGTCACTACATGGTTGTAACTAGGAGGTGGAGCAGCAGCAGCAGCAGCTGCTTTCTATGAACATTGCTGCAACATTATGTGTATAAATTGTGTCTGCCAAATTTGTAAATATACATGTAAAATACTGTAGTTTCTACAGTTGGACAGAAAGGCCATTTGAAGAGGCCGACGCAGTCTGAGTAAAGCATATACTAGCTAGTATATATACAGTATAATTACATACATGAATGCTCTTACGGTCTAAGAGGGTGGGGTTGCTCCCAACACATGCCCTGTGCAACTGTCCAAATCACAGTGCACAATATTAGTTGGACAAGTCATATAGAATTACAGGAACACATGTGTTGATCGATCCCGACTGTTCCTGCAAGGACAGGCAATCACATGGCTTCCCTCGTCAAAACCGGGGAACCCTGAGGCCTAGTTCTCGCGAATGAACAGAATGGACGTTAGGTCGACCTAAAAGGGCTTAGAGCATTGACCCACGGCGCCATGTCTGGTGGCCAGGAGCGGTCCCCAGAGATCGTACCCGCGCACCGCGATCTGTGTTCCGCTCTTTTAGCGAAAAATCCACCCCATGAGGTTGGTGTTTATTGTTTTGTTGCTGGGGCCGGCGAAAGTGGACAACTGGCCGCCTGGAACCCGTTTGGAATCTTCCTTCCCATCTTCTTCCTCGGTTTCTGCCCTTCCCATCCAAAGCACCCAATTGTCCTCTCATCCCCCAAACGGACCGAAGAATCCAAACACACAATATGTATGGCGACGACAGTCTGGTTTTGCGGGCTTCCGATGGACCTGACCGTATTGCCCGTACTCGAATCATGTTGACGACATGGTCCCTGAAATCTTCCCATAGGGATCCAAGTGCCTCCTCAAAAGGTACTTGGACCCTCCAAACCCACTTCTCAAAGGGTACTTGGATCCATAGGGTTCGAACATGGTCCCTGAATGGGGGTGATAGGTCCGGATCGAGCCGGACAACTAGGTCATCAAGTCAGGTCTGGACGGATGGACGGTCGACGTATGGTCGACGTGCCAGGCACCGAAGTTCAGCATATTGCAGGCGCAAGGTCTTCAGAAGTTCATCACGCCTGGGAAAGGTGTTCAGGGACGACTCGGGAAACGTCCCGGCGTAGGGTGAAACGAAGCCGGTCATGGGTGACCTGATCCGGCTTAGCAGGGTGATCATGGCTGGAACCTGACACCGATCACCTGAGGATGTTACTGGACGGTATGTCTACCAGGTATACAATAAATTGGTCCAAAGAATTGGCCCGAAACATTCTCCTTCCGATCGCCCACCGAACATCCGGGCGGCGCGTCCGAGCGTCCGAGCGATTGGAATCAGGTCGAGTCGAAGCCGGGTACCCTTGACCTTTTCCCTGGAAGTCCAAAGACTATACTTTCTCTGAGTGAAGTCAAGGAAAACCCCCTTTCAGATCCCATAAAGACCATTCTTTGTATATTTTGACTTTGACTCCCAGGGTATATATGTTGGGTCTATCCATGTCATCCCGGGCCCCAAGTGGATGATGGGGCCAGCCACTGGCCCAGGCCGAAATCCATCTCAAACATAGTGATGGTCTTGTTTTACTGAATGTGGCGGGTAATAGGACAAACCCAACCTATAATCAATATATTTGTTGTATACACGAACAGGGCTATTCCCTCTATGAAGTTAGCCAACCAGCCAACCAACCAACCAACAAACCAACCAACCCAACCCAACCAAAAACAAACCAAACCAAACCAAACCAAACCAACACAAAACCAAACCAACCAAACCAACCAAACCAACCCAAACCAACCAACTATATGGTAGAAGGCCAGCTCTATTATGATTCCCATCACTTCCCAAATCCTGGACTTCGGCACCTACTTGGAGATCTTAGAGCTTCGCCAAGCTGCTCCTGTCGGTTGGCCTTTGCCTTCAGCCCAGCAATCCATGGGCAGTCGCGCTGCGCATAGCTTCCCTTTGCAGAAAAGCACAAAAAGAGCGCGCGCGGAAGAAGAGGCCCCTTGGGGACACCTGAAGTGTGAAAAACAGCACCGTCAGTGGAGTAGTGCGCCTTAGCTGTAAAACCACGACCGCAAGTGGCACCACCAGTTGATAACCCGATTTCTCGAACCAATTTGCATTTAGCAAGTAGCATCCTTGCTCCTAGTAGCGATGCCCTTGCATTTAGCAGAACATGAAATTCCTCTCTTTCCGGCGCTTCGTAGAGCACTGTATGCACATGATTACACATGCAGCCCAGTGGAAGACTGTGCCACCCGTATAGTATGCTGTGTTTGCCCTCCGTCAAGGATTCATGGTTAATGTCGCTGCAAACTTATGTGAAAGAACCTCCGCTTGCATCAACACCTGGAGATTTACACCAGGAAAATGGCACCTTTCTCGGGCAAGAAGCTGATTGTGAAGTCACCAAACTGCCAGCACCATGTCACCAAACTACCCCTAACTTCCCCAAAAAGTCCACGTGCCGGTGAGCACCTGGGCGTGGAGCAACACCCGTCTGCAGAATGGCTATCCACTCAACGCTGGAAGGCTAATTAATGATGTTGGCAACATGGAAGGGAAGTGATATTGGATCATGCATGCCCTTAATTAACTTCCAGCTGAAAGTGAGTGTTCATCCCAGTGATTCCCAACATATCCTGGGAATCCACTGTGACTGAACCATCAGCCCAGAAATCAACCTGAGTTCTTAGTAGAACACATATATGAGACATTCATGAAAATGGAAACAAGACTTTCATATCAAATACCTGCTGGCCTCTATATAGTTAGCAGGCAGCAGGACCCTTTTTGAAGGAACGGATCATCGCCAGGCTGCGAACCATCGTGGGAATCGGAGACATCACCCCTTTTTGCTCCTTTTTGCTCGGCGCGGGTGCACCTCCGCGGCCTCCGCCTAACTCGCACGGAGTCCGTCCGCATCAAGGGGCGATGATGAAGATCGCCCTGGCCAGCATCTGCCGATGATTTGGAAGGAACCGCACCACGAGAACGTCCTCGTTTCCGCCCGCGAAGCCCCCAGCGCCGCACTCACTCACGAAGACCTGATAGGGCGTCGAGCTGGGTCCAGAGGTCCAGGCTTCCATGCAGGCCTTTTGGATCTTCTTGGCCATGCTTGAGGGATCCTTATCCCAAGAAGCGACAAGCGTATTCTTCAACCAGTTCATGTCCTTGTCCTCAAAGTGCTTCGTCTTGCTGAGAACATCCATCTTCGGTGCACCTGGCTTGCCACTGGACGATTCAACGTCCTTGCCAACCTCGTCACGGATTGCGAAGACTGTGAGCAGAAAACAAGCGAAAAGGCATCCACGCATGGCAAACATGTTCAAAGCCACAGGACAGTGAAAAGGTTCTGTGGCACAAGCAACGGCTACTAGGGCCTCATCTTGAGAGAGCCATCTAACGACGCCGCGGTGACATCAACACCAAGAAAAACTCAGAAAACGAACTATTATATAATTATATATCAATATCCGTTATCCTATGTTTTTCTTGAACTGGAGCCAGTTTTTTTGACCATTTGTTACACCAAACATCTACAGCTGCCACTTCCCAGAATGTATGCTGATGTATGCTGCATTGATCAAAACATTGTAAAACATCAACAGGAGGACTTCGTAGCGTGAGTCACTGCCACCTCCAAACTTATGCGAATCTTTCAGGTGGAGCTGCCACTTCTTTGGGTCAGTTGCCCCTGATTCACTTGGTCTTGCAAAATCATCCACCCAAGCATGGTGAAAGTGTGGGTTGTCTCGCACGTCGACCAAATCCCTCCCGTTCTTCCCTTCCACCCTCTTCGCGCCGCTTTCTTTTCGGAAGCGGGTCGGCAATTTTCGGCCACAGCCTCTTCGGCCAGAGGGCCGCGTGGCCGGGGGGGCAGTTGAAGAACTTCCGGGTCAACGTCCAAGCAGTTTGCACAGCTCAAGTCTAAGATACGTATAGTAGGACTTGAGAGGAGGGAGACACGAAAGGTAGGACAGCGGGAAGAGAAGAGAACGCGAGAGGCAGGAACAAAAATGCAATGTTCGACATGGTGATTTATCCCCTCGGAGGCGACCTTTCGTAAATATATGTTCATATGCACTCTAAATGTTCAAACATATGCTCTCGAAATGTTCAAAAAAAATCTTAGGAAAACAAACTTGCCCCATGGCTCAGATCATCGATGAGCATTGAATCGGAACATCATAGGATTTG